AAAACGTAATGTGTAAATCATGTTGGCATTTGTAAACTTCTCATGACGTTAAGGGCACAGATTGATCATGTCTATTTGATTAAATTCACACAAGCGGCTTGATTGTGAACAACTGATGGATAGGTATGAATGAAACGAATTTGACTCAACACGGCAGAAGTACCGATGTTAATGCGTCAGACATTTTGTATTCAAGGGGTATACAAAGAAAAGTTTGAAAAGAGATGGAGTTTATTAAAAACGACGTCCTTATATGACAATTCATGTTGTGTAAGAATATTAATCAATATAATAATGGTCTATGTAATAGCAGCTCTGATTATAAAGGCGCTGGAATATAAATTGGAAAATCGATGAGAGGTCGCATTAACACATCAGCACATTAACAATTAAATATCGTACTTACCTCGACTCTGACCCCGAACGCTTTATTGCTTTGTGTAGTGAAGCAGCCAAACTTAGAATTAGAATTAGCAGTATGTGTCTATTTAAAGGTTACTGGCGCGTGGTGAATCTGAGCCCACCCCTAAGGGGCCGAGACTGAGTATGCATTGTAAGACAAGTCGGGGAGAGGCTTGGGGGGGATCTGGCACTAATTATCAGTACCAAAGTCCGGACAGACTTCTCGCTGGCTCATGTTCCTGAAGACCTCATACGTTCGCGCGGGCGAAGAAGCGCTCGTGACCAAATGCCAATAATGAGGTCCCGCATGCCAGCGTATCCTCCCTCCTAACCTTTGTTCGCTCTCGTCACGCAACGGGAGGAGAGAGAGCGTGTTGCGTGACCAGACCAAACAATAGCTCTGAAGGAGACAACAGCGAGTGTTGCACCAATGCAGTTTATTTTTGCTTACAATTATTTAGACAACAAAGACAATAGACTGCAAAAGACCTGTGCCTGAGTTTATTTGGAATGAATTGAAAGGGCTTTTTTTCGCTCTCCATTAGACGATATTTTCGTTGGAATCTTTTGATAGTAATTATTTTTTTCTTGCTTGCATGCGTTGCATGCCTATGTTTACATACTGCGTGGCCAAGAGAAGAAGAATCTCGTTTTAATGTGTCGTTTAACGTAACGCTTGATGCGAATAACGATCTGTCAGCCTGCAGGCTTGTCCTCTTAAGCTACACGTTGCCCCGCTGCCTAATCAAATTTGATTATTCGTGCGCGTGTAAGCTGGCGCAAGTGAAAGCTGGCGCCCGTGAAAGCCGGTCAGACTTCCGAACGGCTGTTTCAAGTAGGGTATTTTTCTATGTAGATTTGAGGTTGTGATTTATCTCCAGGAAAAAAAAAAACTGAGATCGAGTGCTGAAGACTCCCTTTGAAGTTACTGTTACTGTAGAGACGGTATCGAAACGTCCCCAAGAACCCCCCCCCACCCCCCCCACCCCCCCCCACCCCCATCTGTGAACATATACCGCAGGTGTCACGTCTCGTGGAAAAGCAAAAGATTATTTCACGAGAGCATTACTCTGCCTTATAACAGGAATGACAGCGATGGCAAAGCAAGCCAAAAGCGGCAGAGAACACCACAAACCACAATGGACAAACAAAGAGCGAGTAAGTTCTATTATCCTTACATGTAGAATGTTCATATCCCGAAATATTTAGCGTTATAGATCGACCATATTTCTTTCCCCATACGATTCCTTACAGCGTGTTCGAATTCTCAACGTAACTTAACCCCACGTCACACAGCGCGTAACACTTTCATTGATTTTAAAATCGTTTGCTTTTCTCGAGACGTAAGCTTGGAACCGGAAATTCGCTGTTGCTTCCGTAGTTTCCTAGAAATGCATTGTTTGCCTGTATTAATCTCAGGCAAGACAAATGATACCTAGTTCGTCTGCAGCTCTACTGGTCTAATCTATCTCTCATTCGATTTTTCTCCAAGCCCAGGTACCTAATATATTAACCGTGTTACCACTTGACAAAAGTGTAGAAAGCGAGGTAATTTTCGACGACGTTCCAAAGGATATATGCTCAAGGTCTTTCTATTCATTATTTATTTGAGTACCCGAGGTCTTAAAGGTAAAATAAGCACGTATCATGTCCACTTAGCCGATTTCTGCAACCGACCGGTAAATATGTTAAGGCCACAAGAAATTACAAAGCGTGTCGTCTGAACCTTTTTACTAAAATAATTTAACAGCAAGCGCACACACCAAAAACTTTGCAGTAAATTGAATTATTTTTTTAAACTCGAAGCCACGTGAGAAGTTAAACCATGAAAAGATCGTCTTGAATTTCCCTGCAATTTAAAAAGCACAATATTTTCAACTGAAGAGCTGTTTACAGTGTTCGCATGGCGAAATTAGCTCGAGGAAATGAAATTCCATGCTGCACCCGCAATATTACTTTGTAAAACTGAATTCTGACAACAGCCAACGCAGAACACAAGTATAGATTGATGAAATGAAGCAGAATTATAAAAGACTGTGGCTGATTGCGAAAATCAAAGAGGCCTGGTGTAGCCACTTTTAAACTCACGGTATCGTGACATCCTTCCCCGGTTGTATGATCATGTTCTCCAGCTATAATATAGACTTAGTTTCATTAAACCATATATAATAAGCGGTGTACAAGGTCTGAACGACTTTGTGTTTTCAAAGCATGATGTGTTTAAATGTTCTATGCAGTACCTTCCAAATTGCGCTGTTCAATAGCACATTGCGAATTGCACCTTATCGTGAGGGTACAAACTGATATAAATCTTGAAATCCCCCTTGTGAAACCTCCGAAAACCCCTATTAGAATGGCTTGATCTACGAGACACTTTATAGGGAAAGAAATGAAGATTGTCGATCCAAAGCAAAATCCTTTTTGCAAGCCGTCGCCTCCAAATAGCATTAGGTATCCCTCTGAGCGTGTCAGGCCGCTTACCTTACATCCACTGCTAACCAAATTGAAATCATTTCGCTTATATTTTATCTAACACTACTTACCGAATTAGCTTTTACAATTAATCCAAAGAACGCACGGTGACTCCGCCAACGTCGATCGTCTTTGGTAAAGTTTGGAGTAAGCAATGGCTCTTCTTGGAATCAATAATTAATACATGTGTGTCTACGTCTGTGGGGGTGGGGGTGGGGACATTGGGGGACACCTGGTACACAAGCTATCTTTTCTCATTTATCTCAGATAGCGAATAATTTACAGTTGCAGAGGCATATTACCTGTAAGAAACAAAGACCAAGTGTTCCTTTGCGACTGCTTTTGCCTTAGGTAGGAAGTAAGCAGCTCATATGCTTTTGAACACCACCCCACCCCCTTCTGTGATTATGTATGATAAAACCTCAGCTTATTTTTCCAGTTTCCTAGAAAGACGGACATTGCCTTTGAGTGTTTGCTTTCCTCTCAACAATGATTGGCTCGTGATCATGCTTTGATCTGCATGAATCTCTTATTCAATTCAAAATCCCCACAGACCTGCTCCTTTTTTGACTGAGTACCTGAAGCTGTTATGGTGAATTTCAACCATAATCTAGTCATTAGTACAGAAATATGTTAAGAAAAGGCAATGATATGTTTTTTTAAATTTCAGCGCCTCGCCTAACAATGATTAATAGCAGACGATAGCGAATATCATTTAATACAAGATATGCCTGCGAAACAGGCGACGCGAAGTGCGAGTCAAGCGCGAGGCGGCGCGAAATGCGAGTCATGCGCAAGGCGGCGCCGAGTGCGAGTCACGCTCTAGGTCACCTCTGACCCGCTTGTGTCACTAAAGGCATCATACTTTCCCGCCGGCGAAGAAAAGCACGCTTTGTAGTGATGACTACACCTTGATAGTGAAGTATTCCGCTCACGAAGTATTTCACTGGCTTAAAATAGCACTAATGGTAATACAGGTTGTTTTATGTGAAATGAGAGCGATTGGTATCGTTCACCTCTTAATTAGAGACCAGTCATTACTCATCGCCCGGGGGATGATTTTCTAGTGATCCCCATCATTAGTAGAAAATTTTCCTTCCTCTTCATTTCCTTCCCATAAGCCCTTGCGCACGATCTCTATACTCTCGGGGGATTTGACTTTCGCTTAGTAGTCGCTTAGTAGTCGCTTACGAACAGAAAATAAACAATGAAATTTTGACTTTAAAACTACCAAGGTGGCTTGGATTCAATCCAAGGTCAAGATAGACATATTAGTCTGATAAATACTTAACAAAACTATCCACTGTAATATTGTGTTTAAAATAGAATCGCTTTTCATCAGTCAGTGCATTCATATATACTGACTTTAAATGCCTTGACTGTTTACTACACCTATACATACCTATATACATCAACTTCATTTTGGCATCACAATGTCATGCGTGTAGACAAATGTTGATGCATGACAATTGAGGGAGGCCGTGTGATCGATCGTAATCTTAGATAACTCTTATCAAGACAGACTTAAAATAAAACTTGTGCGCATCACTGGAATAACATCGATAGGCAATTATGTAAGGAAGACTATGAACTGCTGGAATTGAGCTTGTAACAATTGGGAACCGGCCGATCAAAAATAATCTGTCTTTGTACAAGACTTAAGAGGGTAAGTTGATCTAAACAAACTGTTAGTGGTTCTTCTGCGTCGGCGGGGAGGGGAGGGGTGGGAAAGGGGGGGGGGGGTATTACAAGCTTATTTTGTCTTATCAACTGAGTTGATGATGTAAACCATTAGTTCTTAGTGTTAGTTCTTCGTCAGGGCGTCTGCTAACACCCGCAACAGCAAAACGAAAATAACCAAACAAGTTAGAACACCAAAATAACCAAAACGTAACAACCCGGCGAAACGAATGAAAAAAAAAACATCAGCAAAAAGCAGTCAATGGCAAGCCTATCTACCCCGTAGAAGATCGAAAACGTCGGAAAATGATCTTGGCTAACATCCTGGGCGATGTAGAGGGGGGGTGCGGCGTTCTTGACAACGAGTATTGCGCAAGGAACAACTCATTCACAATTTTATAATGATTAAATGCTTTTAATATAGTTAACAGTGGTTATAACAGTCTAAGACGCTCATATGATAAGGTTTTTTTACTTTGTTTTAATAAGAATATTCGAAATAGCAAAATTGTTGCAGTTACAGTTCTACACTGGATCGAAAAAGGCAACTTAGACGGAAAATCGTGACTATATGCAGGTATAGGAAGATTATATCACTTCAAAGAATTGAAGCCCTATATAATATTCATAAACTAATCTGGATAAAGGTGAGTCTGCTTTTACTCACTTTTTATCAGGGAAACAACGGTGCCCTATCTATTTGTCTTTCTAATGGAGAGAATATAAGAGACACTTATTTTATGGAATAATAGGCTACCGTACCTTGCGAGTAACCTCTTATAAAACGTCTCACACCTGCTCGACAAATAGATTCTGCGCTACCTTTAGCAACGCGAAATAGTGTAACTACCATCCAAAAGTCTCGAAAAGTTTCAGCTCGAAGGTATTAAGCACAAAACCAAGCGTGAGACAGACCATCTGTTACGCATTATAAGTCTATGTTTTCACGCTCGATAAACAGAAGAACTAAATCTATCTTCTTGAAAGACGCGAGTATCTTTTTAGTAAAGCAATTTGTTCATCATCATGACCAACACAGCGATGGTTCCAAACAAGACAACTTTACCACTTGAGATCTCTGCAGCACCATTCAACTGGGTGCTGTTGCAGGCTTTATCAGAACACGGATCCAAGGTCTTCCCCCAGTTTGGAGGCTTGTGTGACACTGCCAGTGTCTGGATGCCGGTGCAGGCTTTATCAGAACACGAGGCCAAGCTCTTCACCCAGACATTGTGTCCATCCACTTTCAAAGGTAGCGCTCCCTGTTTTACAGCTGAGGCAAATTCATTGATACGCTTGTTGAAGTGGACGGATGGAGTGGATGTGATGGCGATGCTCAGGGCTTTCTTATCAGCTAATAAGACGACAATTTCCAGGTTTTCTGGATCTTCAACTCTCCCAGTATAGGCAAGCCAGTCCATTACATCTGAGTTCCACTTCAAGGCACTCGCAATGGCTGAGCCAACTCCATCTGCGAATCGACTTTGAGCATCAGATTTAGGAAGATTATCAGTTGAGCGCCTCGATCGCAGAAAAAACTTTTTAATCTTCAGCTTGATAACTCTGACTGGGCCCTCTTTCAGCTCTCTGTAACATTTCTTGATATTAGCAGACAATCCACATTTCTCTCCTATGTTCCACATTCCCTTGAGAGATTCCCAGAGTGTATCGACTTTGACAAAGGAACCCTTGATGGTCCAAAATATCTGGAAGTAATCGGAGCAGTCGAGATCACAGACGGACGACACACCATTTCCTGGATTCAGGTAACATGGTGTATGAGAGGCAAACGCTTTTTTTCGAATCTCCTCACAGGTTGGATCGTCGACCCATGGCCGCAATAGTGGCACCAGTGAGACTTGGAGGCATTTGCGAACTCCATTAACCCAGTTTTTCCCGGTTTGACTGAACTTTCCAAAGTTTTGGTCATACAGCTTGCAAAAATGTTCAGCGTATTTGACTGCATATCCATTACTTGTAGCTTCACAGGGATACTTCCTCTCCAGGCAGTTGCGATACCAATCACAGGAATCCCCTGATGGACTATAGCACTCTGGAGGCAGTAATGTGGTAATGTTTGGATGTGAGGTTGGATTGCTGGGAGTACAGGAACAATCACTCGTCACTAATCCATAGTTCTTGTTATGCACTTCAAGCATACACTGATACCAGCAGTAGGTTGCAGCTCGGTCTATACACTGATGTTTTTGGTTGCTCTTTTGCTTCATGTAGGTATCCGTCACGCACGTCCCCCACTGGTACTCGTTATTGTACGACCTTAATTGAATGCATTCAACAGTTCCAGCGGGTCCAGACCACTTGTTACACTGGGCGGCCCATCCCAACTCAACCACAAGCAATAGCATAAACGTAAGAGCTAGCATCGTTCAGAGCTGGAACCTGGGAAATGTAATTAGGCCATTTTAAGATTAAGTATCTAAGAATACATTAGAAGCTCCCGAAAGAAACGAAAAATGGTCCGAGATGGGGGAGGGGGTGGGGCTCTGGTTAGCTTGTTTTGAATATCAGTTATTCTTTTAATGATTAATAGGGAATCATGTTTTTATTATTCTGGCACAAACAACCGTAATATCTGTACATTTAGTTTGTTTTAAAAGAGCTTTTTAACAAGAACATTTAGCTTGGGAAGTTTAGCTAAACATTAGGCTTTCATTAATGTTATCACGTTCATATCAATCGTGATGAAAGATTAGGACGTATCAATCAGCTATGTTCTGACACTCTCAAGTTCGAGTTATCAGGGCAAATTTGAGCTCAGGGAAAGTAAAATTAGCTTAGGTTAATTGAGAGTCCGACTTAACCGAGTTCGAACAAGCTGATAGCGGGGGATTCGTGTAATTGGGGCTCTACTGTATTACAAAAGTTTTGCATAGACCGGGAATTTGCTGTTGCTTCCGTAGATTCCTAGGAATGCATTGTTTGCCCGTATCATCACAGCCAAGAAAAATTATTTATAGTTAATCTGTAGCTCTGCTGGCCTGAATCCAACTCTTGTTCGATCTTTCAGGCTCCTAATATATTGACCGTGCAACAACTTAGCAAAAGTGCAGAGAGCCGGGTAATTTTCGACGACGTACCAAAGCGTATATGTGTGAGGTCTTCTTATGAGGTCAATTCACTATTTATCTTAGTACCCTATTTATAGGCACGTATCACTCCCACTTGGCCGATTTCAGCGACCGACTAGCAAAGCCACAAGAACTTAAAGCGTGTCTTCTTAACCATTAACCAAATTAATTTTACAGCAAGCGGACACGCCAAAAACCTCGCAGTTTATTGAATTATTTTTCAAACTCCACGAAATGTCGAAGCCACGCGAGAAGCTAAACCATGAAAGGATCGTCTTAAATTTCGCTGCAATTTAAAAAGTGCAATATTTTCAAAGAGCTGTGTACGGTGTTCGCATGGCGAAATTAGCTCGAAGAAATGAAATTCCATGCAGCACCCGCAATAATACTATGTAAAACGGAACTCTAATAACAGCCCACGCAGACGGCACAAGTTTGGATTAATGAAATGAAGCCGAATGGTAAAAGACTGTAGCAGTTTGTAGAAGTGGAAGATGCCTCGTGTACCTACTTTTGACACTCACGGTATCGTGATATCCTTCCCCGGTTGAATTAAAGATGCTATGATCATGTTCTCCAGCTATAGTATAGACTTTTTTTCATCAAACCATGTATAATAAGCGGCATACAAGAGCTGAACGACCCTGTGTTTTTCGATGCATGATTAGTTTCAATGCTCTACATAGGACCTTTCAAAGTGTGCAATTCAGAAGCACTCCCCCCTTAGCGTGAGCGTACAAGCTAATATAAATTTTGAAATCCCTCTTTTGAAACCTCCGAGAACCCCTTTTAGAATGGCTTGATCTAAGAGACACCTTATAGAGAAAGAAATGAAGATTCGTCTTCGACCCAAAGCAAAATCCTTTCTGTAATTTGCGCAAGCCGTCGTCTCCCAATAGCATTAATTATTCCTCTGAGCGGGTCGGGCCGCTTCTATTACATCCACTGCTTACCAACTTGAAATCATTTCGCTTATATTTTATCTAACACTACTTACCAAATTAGCTTTTATAATGAATCCAAGGGACGCATGATCACTCTGCCAAAGTCTATCGTCTGTGGTAAAATTTGAAGTGGGTAATGACTCTTCTTTGAATCAATTATTAACAAAGGTGTATCTACGTCTGTATGTGGGGGTGGGGGTGGGGACATTAGGGGAAACCTTGTACAAAAGCTATCTTTTGCCATTTATCTTAGATAGCGAATCATTAACAGCTGTAGAGGCATATAACCTGCAGGAAACAAGAACGGATTGTTCCTTTGCGACTGCTTTTGCCTTAGGTAGGAATTACGCAGCTGATATTCCCCTGAACACCACCCCACCCCCCTGCTGTGATTATGTATGGTGAGATCACAGCTGCTTGGTCAGTTTCCTAGAAATACGGACATTGTCTTTGGGTGTTTGCTTTTCTCTCATGATGATGTTATTTCATTCACAATCCCTAAAGACTCGCTCCTTTTTTTACCGAGTACCTGAAGTTGTTATAGGGAATTTCAACAATAATCTAGTCATTAAAAAAGGGCAATTTTTATTTTTTTTTATGAAATTTCAACGCTTTGCCTAACAGTGATTAATAGCAGACGATACCTAATATCATTTAAAACAAGGTATGCTTGTGAAACAAGCATAATTTTTAAAGGTTCTTCAGTTGAACGAAGGCAAGCGCTAGGCGACGCGAAGTGCGAGTCAAGCGCGAGGCGGCGCGAAGTGCGAGTCACGCGCAAGGCGGCGTGAAGTGCATGTCACGCGCTGGGGAGGAGCGCAAAGATATGCCCGCAAATAGGCCCTCGCATTAGCGCTAAAAGAAGCATGTTTCGCCTCCCGCAGGAAAGTTTGAGTTGTGTAGAAACGAGGTTTACCGAGGGTCTGGCATTAATATGCAGACCTCTGACCGGCTCGTGTTATTCAAGGCATCATACTTTCACGCGGGCGAAAAAAACACGTGCCAAGCATTAGCAAGAAGAGAAGATAAACTGGGCATGTCGGAGGCTAATATTGTAGAAGTTTCTCCGCCTTATTAAAACTGACACTTCGTGCACGCACTTTGTCGTGATGACAACACCTTGAAAGTAAAGCATTCTGCCCATGAAGTATTCCACTGGCTTAAAAGAGCAGGGATGGTAATACACGTTGTTTTAAGTGAAACCAGAGCGATTGGTATCGTCCACCTCTTAATTAGAGACCAGGCTATGATAATATTCTGGTGATCCTCCCTCATTGGCAGACAATTTTCTATAGCCCCCCCCCCCCCCCCCTTTTATACCCTGTAATTAACGACTGATCTCCCCTCCGTTCCCCTTAAAAGCCACGCAGTCCTCTCAAAACATCCTCTGCCTCTCCCTCCCCCCTCCCCCAGTGATAAATATTGACTGGTCCCTTAGGTACCCAATTAGTAATTTTGTACCCAGATCCTACCGTGTTACTGTAACCGCCAACCGAAATCAAATATTAAGGAGTTTGTTACCAATGATAAACATATAGTAGTGTGCTAAATTCAGTTCTGTAACTTTTTGCCTGCTTTAGGGTTCAATATCTCGTAATAAGAGCTGTTCGTAAACTAAATTTTATAAACTAGTTTTGTTTTCCTCAAGACTAAAGGGTCAATGAAAACGCTGTTTTTTTCTTTTGTTTAGTAGAATTAATAGAATTAGAATTAATTAATGTACTGAAAAAATTTCCTCTCCATTATTTCCTTCCCATAAGTCCCTGCGTGCGATTTCTATACTCTCGGGGGATTTGACCGGTTACCTGTATGACAGAATGATTGGTAACACCGTCAATTAGTGGTCGATCATGAATAGAAAATAAACAATGACATTTTAACTTAAAAAACTATTAAGGTGACTTGGAATTTGAACCCAAACAAAAACCAAAATTCAATCCGAGATTAAGATCGATATTTAAGTCTGATAAATATAATATAACTATAATAATTAATTATTAATTAATTATAATTGTTAATATAATATTGTGTTTAAAATAGGATCGCCTGTCATCACGAACTGACTTAAATCGCCTTGACAGTTTATTACAACTATACATACCTATATACATCAACTTCATTTTGGAATTACATTGTCATGCGTGTAGACGGATGTTGACGCATAACAATTGGGAGAGGCCATCTGAAAGTAGAGGGGAGGGGAGGGTATAACAAGCTTAACACCGGCACCCTATCTAATTGTCCATTCAACAGTTCCAGCGGGTCCAAACGTTTTGTCACACTGGGCGGCCCATCCCAACTCAATCACAAGCAATACCATAAACGTAAGAGCCAGCATCGTTCAAAGCTTGAACCTGGAAAATGTAATTAAGCCATTTTAAATTTGAATATCTATTCATACATCTGCAGTGCGAAAAAGAATACAATAGAAGCCCGCTAACTCGAACTCCCAAGAGAAAGGAAAAATGGTTTGAGATGGGGGGAGGGTTCCAGTTAGGCTATGTTGAAAATCAGTTATCCTTTTAATTATTAAAAGGGAATCATGTTTTTACCGTTCCTGCTCAAAAAACAATAATATTCATGGATTTACTTTGTTTTAAAAGAGTTTTTGATGAGAACGTTTAGTTTGAGACGGTTAAGCCAAATTACGTTTTCATTAATCGGTTATCGCGTTTGTATCAATCGTGAATAAAGATTATTGGGACGTGTCAATCAGCGATGTTCTGACACGTTAACGTTTATCAACCGACGGTTTTAGTTCAAGTTCGAGTTTTCAGGGTAAATTTGAGCTTAGGGAAAGCAAAGTTAGTTTGAGTTTATGGGGAGTCCAAGTTCAAGCTAACTGATAATAAATGACTGGAAAAATGAAGTAAACGTCAAACGAAATCGGATCTAATTTCAGTTAGTGGGGGATTCGAGTTGACCGTTTCGAGTTAGCGGAGCTCTACTGTATTACTTTAATTTTTCTGGGAGCAGTGATTTTAGAAACCCCCAACATTTCTACATTGTTATCATAGCTCAAGCAAGTGCAAATTGAGGGAAGTAAGTCGACTAGGCGTCCTAAATCTATGGGGTTCCTCAAGGGTCAGTCTTGGGCCCCCAACTCTATGTATTGTACACCGCGTCTGTTGCTGACATCAGTAAGTCTCATAATCTACAGTACCACTATGCTGACGACACACAATTATACGTTGTCTTTAAGACCAATTGTGATGTTGATGCAGGTCTTTCTACATCAAGAGTTGAACGCTGTGTTACAGATATCGACTGATGGATGACTTATAATAAACTAAAGCTTAACGAGGATAAAAGAGAGCTGTTGGTTATGAGCTCTAAGTTTCGATCACGGTCAATGGTCACATCCATTCGATTAGGAACTGAAACCATTCAACACCGGCCCTTTGTAAGAAATTTGGGAGTGATACTTGACCAGGATATAGCGTCGGATAAACATATACGTATGATCTGTAAAACTTCCCAATACCATCTTTGTAACATGAGGAACATAAGAAAATTCTCAGATCAGTGTTCTGCGAATACTTTAGTTCATTCCTTTGTTACGTCTAACATTGACTATTGTAATGCCTTTTTGTTTGGATTACCTAAATATCAGATCAGTAGGCTGCAATTAGTAGTAAACACTGCTGTGTGTGTTGTCACTCTAACTCGCAAACGTGATCGTATAACTCCTGTAATGAAATCGCTGCACTGGTAACCTGTATCTCAACGTATTACTTTTAAGATTTGTCTATTAATTTATAAGGCACTCAATAGCTTGGCGCCAATTTATCTATCTGACCATTTGGCCCCGCGCCGTAATAAGTGCTCACTTAGATCTTGAACTCTGAAACTTTTAACTCTTCCGAGATCCTGAACAGTGACTTATCGAGATAGAGCGTTTTCCATTGCTGAA